TGCCACGTGGAGAAAAAAAAATGTTCTTCCTATATAATGACAGAAATTGAGAAAGAGCAACATTCTTTGGATTTTTGCCTGTTTCATTCCAGAGTGATGTAAAATGTAGTCGAAGTGAGGAGTCAGTCCTACCCTCTGTTCTGTTCTCTTGTCTGCACGTGGCTCTGTGCTGGGCATGTTGAGAAATCAGCTCCTTTCCACAAGCACCACACTTGTGTCCCACAGAAAAGGGCATAAATAGGATCCTGCAGTAGCTAGTGCTGCAAACAAGCAAGAAAACCTCTCAAACTGTTCTGCTTCCTGGCATGGTTTTGGAAGGTGTTCAGACTGAAATATAAATCCCTTTAACTAATGAAGTCCTGATCACCATTTGATTCCTACCTGTCAAAACTGGAAAACTATTTTGGACGAGGATAGAAGTAAAAGTAAAACATGTACTATGGGTTTTAAAAACCTGATTAAAAATTGCTTTGAGAGACCTACAGTTAGACACCTCTGTGAAAAGGGATACATTTAGGTGAAGGTTTCACACTAGACTGAGCTTCCCTGATTGCTGCCAACTGGGGTGGGCAGGGCGTGTTCCCAAATTTCTCCTTGCATGTACCCACCACTGCCCTTCTCCTGCCAGTGGAGCTCATCAGAACATGTGATAGTGGATTCAGAAAGATAAAACATAGCAAATTTAACCTTACAAAAAAAAAAGTGACTCGTTTCCTGCTGTTTTGGCTGATGGAACCTCCTGGCATAGGCTCAGGGCGATGGTGAGGAGCGGTGGGAAGTTGGGGAAAGGAAAGGAAGAAGTCTCCTGCTTTGGCAGCAGGTCTGTGCAGCTGGAAGTCACACTGCATCCTGACAGTAAGGTTTGCTGTGCTTATGCTTTCAAACAGAAATTTGTATCCTCCTATTTTATTTAGAGAGAGTATTTTTAAGAATTTGAAGTACAGTTTGACACTCTTCTTTAGCTGAAGTTTGTGATCATCTCGTGGAAAGGCTGAGTGGCCTGTTTGATACACAGCTGTCACTGGTTTCAGTTGTTGCCTCTTCCTTGTTTTAAGGAAAGTGCTGCTTCTTGTGAGGAAAACGTCTCAGACAGAAGCCCAAATTTCAGCACGGATGTCTTTTCTTTATTGCAAACAGTCCTGTTAACACTGATGTTCATTACAATAGGGATTAATACACTTTGTAGCATCTGGTTTCTAAGTACCTGAGGAGTCTGGGTGCTCCAACCTGCAAACAGGACAGTGCTCAGAACACAGTTTTTTCAGGGGGAACACAGTTTTTCAGCCCAAGTGGATGAAGGAGAGGCGTCACAGCCAAGCTGACGGGGATACTGGGGCTCTGGGGAGGAGGGTGCAGGGGAGCAGAGGCAGCATCCCAGTGGGGAACAAGGGGCAGCAGCTGTGGAGGGCTGGTGTGCTGGGGTTGCTGGGACAGGCAGGCTGGGGCACAGCCAGCAGTTTGAGTGCTGTTTGCAGTGGGACTGGGCTGAACCTTCAGCACAGAACGTACCTGTGTAACACAGGACAGCCAGAGGGTGGCACAGGCCCTGTGCTGTGCCTTGTTTCTCATAAACATCTGGTAGTAACCTACCACCCGTAGCCCATGGGGAAATAGCTGGCTTGGCATGGAAATGTTGCTGGCAGTCTCTAATCTAAGGATATTAAGCTTTGCAGGTGTTTTTTTCATCTGCTTAATTATGAAATCAGTTCAGGAGAGGGAGATGACACATTTAGGTTGCTCTGCTATTTCGGTTGTACAGATAGCACCCAAAAGATGTTAAAAAAATGTCATGCTCTTATAGGACATCCAATTCACAGGCAGATGTGCTGTGATATTTGGGAGTGCTGCTCCAAATTGCTTTCTGAAGGCTCCCCCATTTCTTTCCTCTCCAACAAGGATCTGACCTAACATCAAGAAGGACTACACAGTTTCTATCAGCTTGGGTTTATCAGCACATTGATTCTAGAAATTAGTTTGTAAACCTGCAAGATTCTTTTGCAGTTACAGTGTGACTGCAGAAATGGGAAATCAAACTCTAACCAGGCAGAGAGGCTGGTTGGGAAGGGGCATTTCATCATGTGAGGCAGAGCAGACAGAATGTGAATTCAAGCTTGGAATGGGTCTTCACAAACGGCTCATCTATACTATTTGTCTTGCCAAAAATATAGTGTGAGGGTCCTTTCAATAGCCCCAAAGAGTCTTCAAGAAGATCATCTCTGCTTTCCATGAGGAATCTTATGCAGGAAACTGAGCTTTGGCTGTTTTTCAAGGCGTGCCTTAAAGCATCATGCAAGTTGCCAGGGCTGTGGTTGCCACTTCAGCCCCTCCCTGTTATAAGCAGGGCTTTAAGTGTCTGTGGCACGTTTATAGCAGCTGCTGCCCAGGGTGGGTATGTTGGTGTCACCCATCAACCTACTCATGATTATTGCTCTTCTTTTACGTCTCCATCAAGGGGGATGGGGAGCTTCATCTGCATTTTGCCATTACTGTCTAATGAGCTTGTCCTTCATGCTTCACGTGCCATAAAAGCAAAGCAGTCCTGCATGTCAGTGCTGAGTGTGGCCCTATGGAGAGCAGCTACTTTCCTTTGAGTAATTATTTCTTATTTCTTTTTTTATTTCCTCCTCTCATATTCATTATCATAGTAATACAGGCTGGTCTGGGAATTTCCTTTCACCACAGTAAAATTCCTAGCCATCCATTATCCCTTTATGATTTCAATTTCCAGTAGGAAGAGGCAGCATAGAAGCCACTGAAATGTGGAGGTATCAGGAAGACATTTTTGGTAGTTATTTTAGCAATGAATAATCACATAAAATCTAATGGCAGATAATTTATAGAATCATGTAATGTTTTGGATTGGAAGGGGTCTTAAAGATTATCTAATTCCAACCCCTTGCCATGGGCAGGGACACCTTTCACTATCCCAGGTTGCTCCAAGCCCCATCTAACCTGGCCTTGGACACTTCCAGGGATGGGGCAGCCACAGCTTCTCTGGGCAACCTGTGCCAGGACCTCACCACTCTCACAGGGAAGAATTTCTTCCTAACATCTAATCTAAACCTCCCCTATGACTGTGAAAAGGTGCCTTAAAAGGCATGAAGATTTATGTTAGCACAGAAAATTCCCCCAGCTCCTGTGTCCTTGTCCTATGGGAAAGGCCACCTGTAGGTGTGAATTTTCAATCACATTCATTGAAAATGTCACCACCAGGTGCAAAATATTTTTCTGCCTGTTCTTATTTGCATCACAGTTGAGGGCTTGGTTTGCTCTAAAAATGGAGTTGTCCTTTTAACGTGCTGGGAACTGGGGAGTCTTCAACCCCTGCACAGCCACTGTCTGTCTGAGCTCAGGGGAGCTGTGCACGGGCCAAGGTCTGGAATTAGGACAGCTGTAGTTTCCCCACACTGAGATGATTGAGTGAGTTCACTGGGCTTTTCTAAGTGAAAATCACTTTGTGAAGACTTGTGGTGTTGAGTGGTCACCCTCTTGGCTCTTTTCTAAAGATTGTTTTCTTTCCTTTTTTTTTTTTTTTTTGCTCTGCTGGTCTTTTTCAGCCCCCTCTCTTGGTATTCTGTAAATGCTGTGTTGTGGTGAAGATTATGATAAATTACAGCACTAAGTATAGTAATAAATGTTGGCATAATCTATATAGGCTTTTGTGGAAGAAATTAGTTTCTCTTCTGCAGTTTGAAAAAAAAAAAAAGGAGTCATGAATCTGTTTAGTGTAAAAACATCCTTGTCTTCCTGTGGTTTAACTTTATTCTCAGATGAAAAAGCCGCAGAGTTTTGCACAGGGAAGCCTGTTTTATGGATGGCATTGTCCAAAATAATCAAGTGATAATGGAAACAATTTAAAGTTTGGAAGTAGAACATTAAAATCATGGAAGTTGTGCAATTTCTTTGTGAGATTCTACGATGTGTTGCACTGGTGACTTACAACTGAGAAGTTTGAGCAAAGCAAGCAGGGAATTTGAGCAGGTATGTATGTCAAGTGCTTTGGAATCCTAATCTGTGAGTGTATGTGTAAAGAAAATAGTTTTAAGGAACAAGCCTAGCCTATCATGCTACCACTTTAAGGTGCTTTAAAAACATTTCTCTCTAATAAGCATGCTTGATTTTAAGGTAGTTTAAAAACGTTTTTTCAAAGGAGTCTTTGCCTTTAGGTTGGTGTCTGTTGTGGCATGATCTGGAGTGCACACAGGCTTACAGAAAGTGTATATGGGAATCCTCTCCTCTTCCACATAGCCAGTAATTTCTAGTATTGGCAGAGCTTAGAGCCTGATGGCATGCACTCATGCTGACCTGTTTGTGTTTTTGAGGAATCTGGTGAGTGCTCTGTGAGTTTCTGAAGTTATATTCTGCTCTGCTCTTGTGGGAATATTACAGAACTGGCCATAGGGCTCTAGGAATTGTCACAAAACGAGCAGTTAATTCTTGACATCTGCAGTGCTGCAGGGACTGCCAAGTTGCGTAGGTAGTTGGCAAGGAAATAAATATTGATAGGCCCTAGCAACAGGTACTCCTGAGAACTCTTGTTCTGGGAATGCTTAGGCCGTGTCCAGTGTTATTAATGTTGTGATATCATTTTAAGTTTATTTATAGGGTCTGTTTGTGTCTTATCACCATCTCTCAGAGCTGGAATGCACGAAGGGGCTTTGCTGCGCCAGGGCAGAGTTGTGTGTTCTGCACCTTCCCTGGTGACTCGTTTCAACATGTAACAGATGCTCCACTGCCCACACCTCAGGGGTGGCTGATGTGCACCCATGTGTGACATCTCAAGTATGTGCTCATATCTAGAATCTCATATGTTTGCTTACCCATCCTATGGTGGGATGACTGCTCTGGAGCCACGTAAGTGAGTTGGATACGAGGATTTATTCCTTTTTAGTGACATCCTAACAAAGCACTAATATACAAGATCCTCGGAGAATCCACCAGGTAAAATGAGCTCACACTGTGAAAGCACTGACATGAACAACTGTGTGTTCTCCTTGCAGAAATTGAAGCCAGAGAAGCCTGTGACTGGCTGAGGGCTGCCGGGTTTCCCCAGTATGCTCAGCTCTTTGAAGGTATGATCACAGACACTTCTCAAGCAGCTGACACTGAACTCGAGTGGGATTGTTCACATAAATAATATATTTCAGAACCTGACAGTTTTGATGGAAGCACTTCCAAATTCTGTCATATATTCATGCAAATCTTCAGAAAAATAGTAAAGCTCTTGCAGAAGGGACATCTCGTCAGGGACTCAGTAGAATTCTGTAAAGGAGCAAATCTTTCTTGGTTTCCTTTTCTTGTAACTCAGACAAATCTCTGCTTTTGTGATTTTTGGTTGCTTATAATTTTCTCAGGCTCTTTTACTTGTAATGCTGGAGTATTTTTCTGACCACTGATTGCAACCAAAACTCCTCCAAGGCTCTCCAGCCTGAGCCAGATTGCTTTATTGGTGTATCGAAAAAGAATGATGGAAAAATCATCTTGCAATCATAAGCGTTTAAAACTGATACTCAGCAGCAGCCAGCCAGAAAAAAAAAAGCAATTTAAGCATGTTTTTCATGTCATTAAATCTACAAAGAATGCTTATTTCTTGTGGGGGAGGCATGGATTTATTAAGAACTTGTATAGCTTTCAGGGCACACTTGTACTTATACCTTAAAAGAATTCTTCTTTAAAATATGTTTATTGTTACAAACACTGAATGTAACAAGAGGTAATTTATTTTTAAGAGGGATTTTATCAAAGAACTACAGTTAAAAGAACCAACAGTGACTTCTGCCTGCTGTCATTCTCACCTCCCCCTGATCACTGCAAAATTAAAAATTCGAAGCCAAGCCACAGAGTTTTAAGAGGGATTTTATCAAAGAACTACAGTTAAAAGAACCAACAGTGACTTCTGCCTGCTGTCATTCTCACCTCCCCCTGATCACTGCAAAATTAAAAATTCGAAGCCAAGCCACAGAGTTGGATTTGAAAGCTGTATGCTATGAAACATGCTGCCTCATGGCAATGCTTCCTGTCTGACTGCAGCAGAGTTTATTCTACGAGATGTGTGTTGGAAATGTACACTGCCATGCTTCTGGAAAATGAATCCCCTGCATCCCCTCGCTGCTTATGCAGTGTAATTTACAGACTGGGAAAAGTAAGCTTAAAAAAATAAGCCAAGAAAATGCTTAGTGCATCTTACTGGTTCCCTCATCTGCAAGGTTAGATCTCAGAAGCTGAAACACTGAACTCCTCAGCTGGTGGATCGATCAGCTTCCAGCTCAGCTTGATTTGTCAGACTCATTGCAGCTCGTGTGTGTGTGTCATGTGCTGCACTGAACATCACCAGCACAGAGCTCGTGTGAACTACTCCCTGTTCTGCACCTGAAGGTGCAGAGAACCAAACCAAAGCTAAACTTTGTTTTGTATTTCCTGCCTATGGCACTACAAGCTCATGGAAAAGCAGGAGAGTTTGTCTACCTGTAACTAACAGCAGCAAGCAGATCCCTGCATTTGTTCTACTTGCTCCAAGGAACTAACCCTCACTTAC